ACACAAAGTGCCCACTCCCAGCTTTTCATTCCTGTGATTCTTTTCTCAGAAAATCTGAACTCTAAATTGTGAGGTCTCCTTCCACGTTCCTGCAACCTCTGCACCTTCTAGTTCCACAGCAGGATCGGGAAAACAACTCATGATACTTCAAACAGTAACAGCTATGTGGTCCATAAGGAGAACTCTCCTTCCCTGAAGAACCTGCTTGGTGAGAACTAGTAGGACCTGGAACTGATTGGCTGTCCCTGAGACTTCTCAATATGAGGGGGGGCCTTGAGTTGTTTGTCAGAGTGGAGAGGACCTAGAGTGGTGTTCTCAACCTGTAGGTCTCAACTCTTTGGGGGCCACAGAATAGTAGCCAGATTACAGTTATGAAGTAGCAGGGAAATAACCTTATGCTTGACGGTCACCACGGCATGAGGGGAGGATATTAAGAGTCGCAGCATCAGGAAGGTTGAGAACCACTGCCCTAGAGTGTTCGAATTCAGCAGAAAGGAAATTGATGAGGACATGGAGGGTGGCAGAACTGTTGGGGATAGGAAATCGAATTCATGGTCAATCTCCTCCCATGTAGGAGACTGTAGCATGAATAATAAAAACCCAGAGACAGATATTGGGGTTCAACCTGAAGATCAGAAAAGCAAAGCAGCCAAGCCACTAGAGAGCTCTTACCTCCATGAAATCTTCAAATTGAAAGAGAGCAAATTCCTGTCTCATCCCAATTTATTTATATTCCTCTCTAGTGCTGGGATTAAAGATGTGCACCACCACCTGGCCTCTATGGCTAACTAGTGTGGCTTCCAGGATTAAAGGTGTGTGCCACCATTAAATGGCCTGTATGGCTGACTAGTATGGCTGTTCTGCATTCTAATCTTCAGGCAAACTATTTATTAAAGTACAAATGATACATCACTACGGGTAGCAACCCTTCTACTTTCATATACATTCTGGAAGATTTGCTTTGCTTAGTGAACCCTGTGTTAGTTCATGCTAGGGACAGGAACCTAGATGTGACAAATCTTCGCCAGCAGATGCTAAGGTTCAGAGATTATCATAGTGTAAAGCACAATGTCCACCCTACGGTTCTACGCCTGTAGTGCTTGTGCCACTACAGGTTGGTATGCGAGCCGGAAACTGGGCCTGGAGACTTAAAAACACAGGGACAGACACAGAGAGAGACACAGACACGGGTCATCCTTGATACAAGAATGCCAAGTTTATTGTGCTCCAGGGAAACTTATATAGGGATCCTTAGCCATGCCCGGCTCTTGGGATTTTTCAGCTGCAGGCCTCATCAGAACCCACTCCCCTGCCATCAAGGTCTTGTGCCCAGAGCAGCTGCAGGCACAGGTGTTTTGCTCAGTTCACGCCAGCAGGCAAAGGGTCTGAGGCAAGGCAAAGAAAGTCAAGGGGCCAGGGATCTGCAGCTCCCAACATCATGGGACCTGCCTTGGGGCTGTTCAGGAATCTTGGGAAAGTGCATGGCTTGGGGCCTTGGCTGGTATCAGAGCTGTATCATTTGTGGTCTCTTGCAGCATACCTCCTGCTCACCTCGTGAGAACCACAGCAAAGCTCAGCAGCCTTCCCATTTCCAGCTTCCTGTCTGCAGGCTTCCTGGTGGCAACTTCCTTTATCACATGCCTAAGCTCCCCTGGTCCTTGTGTGCCTTCCTGTATCTTACAACTGGAAGTGTAGAGAAGTGAAGACAGTGCCCTGGGGGAGCGCCACTGGGGTTTTATTCTAAGCAGTGAAGCCTCAGTCTCTTTGGCTAGCCCTACTATTCATGGAGATTCAGTTCGGATTCCAAGCTCCCCGTTGGCTTCTGTCTTTCTCACCAGGGCACAAGGTGTACACAATCTGTTTCCCAGCACCTGTCAAGGACTACATTGACCAATGGCATTACCTCACCATCCACACATTGAAACATGCCTGATGTCTGTTCCTTAAGCCAGCTGACCTCAGCACTCTGGGCCCAGCCATGATACTTGCTGTCTTATGAGTAACAACAGGTGTCTTGAGTCCTGACTTGTGGTGTCCCATAGTTTCCCACGTTTTGCGTGAGCCGAGTCATACCCTGAAGGCCAGGGATATGGAGACTTGACTACTGACATGACCATGAGTTAATTCCCTTTGGTCCATCACAGCCAGGGCATTGTTGCTGCTGCTGCTGCTGCTGCTGGAATCACATGTATACAATGAACACCAGGTCTGATAGACTCACATAGATAGCTCAAGACTTCTGGTCCCTGAACTCAACTCTATCACTCACTTAGATGCTATGTGACTTTGAGTTTAATCACTTCCCCACTCTGAACCTCACTTTCCCTATCTACCAACTGGGGAGGATGGCCCCACTGCTCTGCAGTGTTGCAGTGAGAGGGGCTTCCCTGTTTGATGCATCGATTTCTACCCCAGAACTTTCCTGGGTGCTGTACAGCATCCCCTCCTCCTCCTGGACACACTGCAGTCTTCCTTCTTCCTAGTAGTTCCTTTTCAATTTGTTTCCATTCCCTTAAGTCAGTATGAACCAAGGCACTGATCTGGAGGGACTGGAAGAGGGTAGAGAGAAGGATTAGATTGTGTGGGCCTGATGAAGCTGGCCCAGGACCCTGGACTCTCCCTCTAAGGCCTATGGGAAGGTCCAGGAGGCCTCAAGCAGCAGCCCTGGTTACATCTATGCTTTGCAAAGATCGCTTCAGCTGTAGGGCTCAGCATGATCCATATGGCGGCAGAGCTGCAGGAAGAGGGACTGGCGAGGAACCCGAGATGTTCTTGGCAGATCTAGGAGACAAGTCAACAGAGAGGGTGGTAAGAAGAGCCAAGGAACGTCTGGTCTGTGGTCTCAGCACCAGGAGGTAAGGCTTGGGGTACAGGAAGGGTGGTAAGCCGCATGGAAGCGCACCAGTTTTGTTCTTTCACCATAAAAATGTCTGAGGAAAAATCAGCAGGCTGCTGTGGAATGAGTGTTAATGAAGGGTTAATGAGTAGTTGTAGTTGACAAAAATTGATGAAGTAATGACAGTGGCTACCATAGGAGAGACCACATTCTAGAAGTACTTATGGAATAGATGCTAAAGACGTAGCAATTGAATAGAAATGTGTAATAGAGAAGTCAAAGGCAAGAGGGCAAGTCCTAGGATGACCTCAGGCAGATGGGAACAGGGAGTTCCCTTCCCAACATGGAGATACTTAGAAGAAACTGACTACTAAGTTAGACCAACTCAACTGCTTTTTCCAACGGTTTTTTTGTTTGTTTGTTTGTTTTTCAAGACAGGGTTTCTCTGTAGCTTTGGAGCCTGTCCTGGAACTAGTTCTTGTAGACCAGGCTGGTCTTGAACTCACAGAGCTCTGCCTGCCTCTGCCTTCCAGAGCTGGGATTAAAGGCATGCACCACCACGGCCTGGCCAAGATAAAGGTTTTTAGAGCTTTATTTACAAAGACACAAGGCAGCTTGCCCGTCCTTGTTTTAGGGTGTCTTAGGTTAGAGTACATGTTGTAGTCCAGTGCAGATTCAGGAAGAATCTGAGCTTAGGAGACAGATGCTTCCTGAGTGTAGCTGACTATCCAAAATGCTTGAAAAGTGGAAGAGAGAAAAGAGCAGACTGTTGAGGGTCCCTGAGGACCAGGAAGCTTTAGAGGAGTCTAGGAAATTGGGCTATACCCTTGGCATTTGAAAGGCATGACCAGGATGCTTGCAAGTCTGAGACAGCCTGTGGCCAAGCTGGTCTAGGTATTGAGTTCACCTGACCAGAGCTACATAGCATGACGCCATGTAATAAGAGAGCAGAAAGATGGCTCAGCAGTTTAGAGTGCTGATCGTTTTGTAGAGGACTACAGTTCAATTCCCAGCTCACACCCTCATGTAACTCCAGCTCCATGGCCTCTGACACCCTCTTCTAGCTCCGCAGGTACCTGCACACATGTAGCATATGCACATATGCACATACATACCTATAAATAAAAAGTTCAAAAACAAGTAAAATAAAAGGGACTGGAGAGAGGTCCTCCTGGGAGGTAGGAAGACCCTGGAGATTGGGCACCACACTGGTGACGTAAACATATGTCTATACACAGGCATAGAGCTTAGGCTGGCTGGTGTGCTCCAGACAGATGTAACCTCATGACTGTATTCCTGGTGAGAGGAGAGTATAAAACAAACAGATTAAATCTACTCAAGAGGTTTGGCAGTAGCTCCATGGTAGAGCACTAACACATACAAGTCCCAGCCCCAAGACAAACAAGTAGACCTAAGAGGCTAGTAAAATGAAGATGGCAAGGCTATGGCCACCTCAAAAATGTACGGCTGTGAAGCTGCTGAGAAAGACAGCAATGACGGGAGAGTTCTTTGCTTAAATGGGAGATGTGTCTAAATGCAGTAAAAAGAGAATGAGCTGTCAGGGATATAGGAGCATGAGCAATGAAAGATGATCCCCACTAACTGCCATGAACTTGGGCCATGGAGTCCTGCCATTTCCTCAGCTGCACAGTGGAAGTAGTAACAGGACCTGCCCCCACTGACCAATATGATACACAAACAAGTGGATTTGTGTATGTTACTCAGTGCAATGAATGGGATTTCTGTTACCACCTGTGCCCTGATGCTATCCACAGGGGTCAAGTCTGGGTATGGAGGGTTTCATGGTCTTCAAGGTTCCCCAGCTTTGTGGTAGCCCTGGGAAACTGAGAGCGTCATCTCTCAATTTCATCTGGTCCTGTCCTGCTAAACCACAAATAAATGTTTGTTTTACAACTTTTATAATTGTGTGTGTGAAATAAGCTGTGAGTGTGGATGCACTGTGCAAAGGTGTCTGCTGGAGGTCAAAAGACAATTTTCAAGGGGGCAGTTCCCTTCCTTGAAGCAGGGTTTCTCGTTTCTACCATGCTGTGTATTTCAGGCTGAATGAGAGCTTTTGGGTTGAGTGAGTGTCTTGTTCCTCTTGTCTCATGCCAGAATGCTGGGTTTGCAGAGGCTTGCCACTGCATCTGGTTTTTATTTAGAATAAGATGCCTCAGAAGGGGGCGGGCTGTGAGCGGAATCTCAGCGAGCCTCAGTCTCTGCTGCATCCCCTTGCCTATCGCCATGGCCGCCTACAAGCTGGTCCTCATCCGGCACGGCGAGAGCGCCTGGAACCTGGAGAACCGCTTCAGCGGCTGGTACGATGCCGACCTGAGCCCGGCGGGCCACGAGGAGGCGAAGCGCGGCGGACAGGCGTTGCGAGATGCTGGCTATGAATTCGACGTCTGCTTCACCTCCGTGCAGAAGAGAGCAATCCGGACCCTCTGGACAGTCCTGGATGCCATTGACCAGATGTGGCTGCCAGTAGTCAGGACCTGGCGCCTCAATGAGCGACACTATGGGGGTCTGACTGGTCTCAATAAAGCAGAAACTGCTGCTAAGCATGGTGAGGCACAGGTAAAGATCTGGAGGCGATCTTACGATGTCCCACCACCGCCAATGGAGCCTGACCATCCCTTCTACAGCAACATCAGTAAGGATCGCAGGTACGCAGACCTTACTGAGGACCAGCTACCGTCCTGTGAGAGCCTGAAGGACACTATTGCCAGAGCACTGCCCTTCTGGAATGAAGAGATTGTCCCCCAGATCAAAGAGGGGAAGAGAGTCCTGATTGCAGCCCATGGCAACAGCCTTCGGGGGATCGTCAAGCATCTGGAGGGTCTCTCAGAAGAGGCCATCATGGAGCTGAACCTGCCAACTGGCATCCCCATTGTCTATGAGTTGGACAAGAACTTGAAGCCCGTTAAACCCATGCAGTTCCTGGGAGATGAAGAGACGGTGCGGAAAGCCATGGACGCTGTGGCCGCGCAGGGCAAGGCCAAGAAGTGAAGGCGCGCAGATAGACTTCTGCCCCGAGACCCTCCTCCCTGCCTGTCTGCCTCCTGCGCCCTTCCCAGCACCCGTCACTGACTCCATGTTTAGGATCTTAAGTTTAAGTTGTAGCTGCAGATGGGGACCCGTGGCTCCCATTTTGTTTTAGTATTTTATCCCCTGCACCCACTCCCTTCATAGAATCTAGTCAGAGTAACACCTCTAGGGTGCAGGTTCTTGGTCCACATCCAGGGATGGCTCCCTTCTAGGAGAATTGAGAGGTAGTAATTACAGTTTTCTTAGTCCTTTGTTTACAAGGGTCTGCTTTAGGAGGTCAGGGAGGAACCATGCTGTGGCCTGACCAGTGAGAAGCCTGTCCTGCACTCTTCTGCAGTTAGGTAACTGGGGGCTTTAGTCATTCCAGTGGAAGGTGAAAGTAGCCTGCATTTAAAAAATGAACTACCTTCCTCTCTGAACCTAAAGGAGCTGCTGGCCCCCGAAGGTTGGGATCAATCCTGTCAAGTCTATGTGTTACATTTACTTTTACAAAAACAGAAGTACATATATATTTATCAGTACACAAAAACCCCTCTGAGGTTTCTAGTGGTGATTGAAATAGTCTATGTGGTCACCAGAAAATAAGCCATTCCTCATATCAAGTGGGATAAACTCCTTGTCCTCAAGGGACAGGAGTGTCTCTTACTGTGTGTTAGGACCCCTCTGCCTTGTCTTGTAGAGGTGAAGTGCCCCTTGATCATGTCCAGGGTTTTGTCTTTCGTTGTCTGAATCATGTTCCAGCTGCTTGACCCTACCGTGTGGGTCCAGAACTTGTTTTGGGCATACTAAATCTTCTTTTCCAGATCAGTATAATAAAGGAGTGATGTGCAAAAAACAAAAAAACAAAAAACAAAAAAAAAAGATGCCTCAGAAGTCTTGTGCATTCCCCATTCGGTGGCTGTTTTGGTGGGAGGGGTTGGGATATGTGACCTTGTTGGAGGAAGTGTGTCACTGGAGGTGGGCTTTGAGATTTCAAAAGACCCCTGCCATTCCCAGTGTACTCTTAATTCTCTACTTGTGAATCAAGATGTTCACTCTCAACTGTTCCTGCCATACCTTCCTTCATCCTTCATCATGGACTCTAACCCTCTAGAACCATAAGCCCAAATAAAGGCTTTTTAAAAAAAGAAGTTGCCTTGACTGGCGTTTTATCACAGCAATAGAAAAGTAAGACAGTGGGTTCTGGGGATGAAACTTAGATTATCAAGTTTGTGTGACAAGTACTTTTTCCCACTAAACCATCTTACTGGTCCTAGATATATATTTTCAAAACCAATAATGGAATAGCAGGAAATAATACAGGTCTTCTATGAGCTTAGTGGGGTACTGGATGCTGGGAGCTTAGTGGAGTACTGGATGCTGGGAGCTTAGTGGGGTACTGGATGCTGGGAGCTTAGTGGGGTACTGGATGCTGGGAGTTTAGTGGGGTACTGAATACTGGGAACTAGTGGGGTACTGGATTCTGGGAGCTTAGTGGGTGAATACTGGAGGCAGATATTTGTGAGGGATTGGCTCTTCTTGGCCCCTTGGCTTGCTGTGTTTTCCATGAAGAAGGGACAGCAGAGAACCCTTCGTGTTGTCCTAGTGTTTTGTGTCAGAGGGTAAAGAGTCTATAATAAATTGAATAACATCTGCTTCAATTTCATGCCTACCTGTGATGGTTCATCTTCTCAACCTGATTGGATTAAGAGGCACCTGGGGAATCAACAAGGAACCTATAAGTGTGTATATGAAGGTGTTTCCAGAGAGAGTGGCAGAACCCCATCTTAGAGGCTGGGCATCCTAATGGAATAGAAGAGGGAAGACAGGTAGGGTGGGTATTGCTGCCTGCTGTGTGGTCCGGGGCTCCTCCAACATGCTACACTGCCATTCTGTCCTGCTGAAGTATGTGGAGCTAAACGACCATGGATAAGAACCCTCAGAAGCCATGAACCCAGAGTCTTCCTCCTTAAGCTGCATCCCATCACAGCAATGAAATCTGAGCCATGCAGCCAAATCTAAGATCATGAAGTCAGACTGAGTTGAGGCCCTATACTCACCACTAGTGTCTTACATGATGAGGGAGGACATGCCTCAAAGGTAGGGATGGGAGCATCGGAACCAACCAAAGCCCAAGGAATTGAACAAAGCAGAGGTACTCTGCCTATATATAGCCTTGGCAGGGAAAGTCCTAGGGACCCCATGACTTCACACTGGGTTTTTGTGGTGCTGCGTTCCCAGTTTGTGCTCACTTTTTGTGGTTGTTCTACGACATACTTACAGCCTGGCTTCACATGTGAACTAAGGTACTGAAGGAGGACATGGTGTCTCCTGAGGCCAGTGTTCTGACAAATGCCCTAGTGAACTTCTCCACTGTTAGGATGTCAGAATGTGGCATGTGAGGTGAAGCAGAAACTCACGGGAGACAGAGTGCAGGGTATGCCACACACTGTCTACCCCACTAAGATCCCACAGCTGGAGCTGAAGTCAATTCCAAAGCCATTGTGAGGGCTCTACAGATCCACTCCAAATTTACATTGTTATTGAGATAGAGGTCTTATTTAGCTGTAAATACAACATTGTAGCCGAGGATGGCCTTGAACTTGTGAACCTCCCATCTCCACTTCCTCCCTTCCCCCCCCAGTGCTAGGAGTCAGATGTGCCCTACTGCACCCAGTTTACACACAAGTTGGGACAGAACCCAGGAGCTTTGTACTTGTGAGGCAAGCACTTACCTAAGCTACATCCCAAGCCAAATTTATAAGTATTTTGAAAATGCTTCTCGCTGGGCGATGGTGGCGCACGCCTTTAATCCCAGCACTTGGGAGGCAGAGGCAGGCGGATCTCTGTGAGTTCGAGACCAGCCTGGTCTACAGAGCTAGTGCCAGGACAGGCTCCAAAGCCACAGAGAAACCCTGTCTCGAAAAACAAAACAAAACAAAAAAAAAAAAAAGAAATTGCTTCTCACTAATGGACCAATAATGTTTCTTCTAGTTTATCTTAGAAAAAAAAAGACAGAAATTAGATGAAGGTTTATATCCTCAGGGTGTTGACCATGACCTTATGTGAGAAAAGGTGGGCGGGCTAGATGTCCCGTGGTAAGGCAGTGGTGAGGCAGATGACAGAGTGTCCATGGGATGGAGTACTAAGCAGCCATTATAAATATTTATGAAAAGTGTTTAATGTTAACAGAGAGCTTTTAATGATGTAGGAGGAGCCTATGTGGTATAATATTAACTGAAAAGAAAGTTGGGCATAAAATGTTTCAATATGATGTCAACATGACCAAGAAATGTATGAGAAGACGTCAAGGAAATATGCCAAAATATCAGCGGTCACTGGGAAAGTTGTGTATGTTTAATTTTTTATATACTTCCTGTACTTTAAAATAACTTCCTGTGCACACAGTTATGCCCATAATCAAGAAAGAGGGAAGACATTTAGAAATGCTCTGTGTGTTTTTCATTTTTATTTTCTCTGATGGATAGTTTGCACATCAGCAAATTTTGACTGGTGCTAACTACTTAGGCCAATCACAACACACATATACGCACAGAGAGGTCACACAGGCTGTGCCAGGCTGGCCATGGCAAATTTACATCAAGTTACACAGGAGGAATTGTGGGACTGGCTCAAACACGCCACCAGATGGCTGGGACACAGTTGGATCACACTTCCTCTCCTGCTGCCTGTCAGTTGTTCTTCACTGAGATGTTGGGCCAGCGGGTGACCTCTCACTGGTACTCCCTGCAGCAGCCCTCAGTGGGTGAAGAGGATGCTGGTTGGCATCTGTTCTGGATCCCTTTCTTGACCACAGGACAGTGGCACCTGCAGCTCTCTGCAAACTGGTCCAGGCACCGGATCTGCTCTTGATCACTCACTCCTCCTCACCCCATTCCACTGTGGGTTGGACATGACAAATTGAGAAAGAGCCTGGAGCCTGGCAGATACACACCTGATATGAACTATGCCCAGATACAGAATGGGAGGGAGCAGGAGGCATAAACCCAACACCATACACAAGCTCAGCCTTCACAGACAGGCCAGTGTCTCTAGGAAAATGATTACAATGGACCCTAAGAGATGGGTGGACTATGTGGAACCCTCCAGGCTACAGTCACTGGGAGAGGACAAACAGGGAACAGGACTTCTATCTGACAGCAAAGCTGGGAGGGTGGATAGGTAATGGGTCCAACATGGTGCTAGATTATTGAAGTTCACAGCCATCCACACCCGGGGGTCATGCCCCTTTCCCAGTTTGTTCACGTGGTAGGTTAATGAGGGTTTACTGTTTTAAGGGTAGTTGGATAACTGACGAGACAGACTCCTGGGTTGGGCATGCTCTGGGAGGGCCATGCGACAGTGAGGGGCTCTCTATTGCTACACTCTGCACAGCAGTGGCTGGGCCCACCTGCCATGCCCATGGCCCGTGATAGCAGTCATGGGCTTGCCTTCAACCCCTTCTGCCTTGGAAATCTCTTAGACCCCTGTAAAATGGGGGCTATGAGGACAAGAGGGTGGAAGGGATGGTCCCCATGGTTCTGGGGCACCCCACGTAGGGGTTACATGATGCTACACTGGGTGGCCCCACAGCAATCCTTGATGAGTGCCAGGCCTGTCTTGGCCACTGTTGGCTTGCTAGGTGGGGGATCTGCCTTCTTCTCTGCCCGGGAGCCTGCAGGAATGGAAAAGCAGAGGGAAAGAGAGAAAGGTAAGGAGAAGATATCCCTGACCACTGGCAGTCCAACCCAAACCCAACCCATGACCAGGCCTTAGTATGGAGAATGGCTATGCATTCTATGTTCAACATTCATAGACTTTCTTATCACTCATTCCTCGGGTTCCAAGTGCATCTTGAGTCTACCTCCTAGTCAGTCCCTCTCATCATGTTAGCTTCCAGGCCTAGTGCAGGGTAAATGGGAAATTCTGTTCAACGCACTTTAACTCAAGGGTTCACATCTTTCAGTTTAGGAAAATGCTCATGTTATCTTTTCAGAATGCTCTCCTGGTCATCCTCCATTTTATCCCCTCAGAATGCCTATTAGATGTAAATTAATTTTGTCATTATGTCCTCTCTCTTTGTAGAAGCTATAGTACTTTCCTCTTTGTTCTGTATCCTGAGTAATTTCCTCAGGACTGCCTTCCATTTTGTGAAGCATGCTTTCAACTGTGTCTTCTTATTCAATCCTTTTAAGGTTTTTCTTCCACAGCAGTTTTATTAATGAGGCTAATGTTTTTGCAAGTCTATTTACATTTTTCATAGCATTGTTCTATTTCATCTTGGGTTTTGTTTCTTGTCTCTTTAATAACTTTAATATACTTAGTGCACTATCTCTTCAAGATCATTTTCTTTTTAAATCTTTTTTTTTAATTTTGTAATTTATGGTGTGCACACAGATGATTCAGGAGTACATGAGTGTCAAGGACAGAGGACAACCTCTCCTTTCACATTTACATGGGTGCTGAAGGTCAAACTCAGGCTATCAGGCTTCTGTAACAAGCCTTAATCTACTGAGCCATCTTGATGTCTTCTTTTTTTTTTAAATTCATACTTTTTAAATATTTATTTATTTATTTATTTATTATGTATACAATATTCTTTCTGTGTGTATGCCTGAAGGCCAGAAGAGGGCATCAGACCTCATTACAGATGGTTGTGAGCCACCATGTGGTTGCTGGGAATTGAACTCAGGACCTTTGGAAGAGCAGGCAATGCTTTTAACCGCTGAGCCATCTCTCCAGCCCTTGATGTCTTCTTCTATCAGGTTCTTGGGAAGTCATTTTCTTTGTTGCATCTGCTTTTCCTATCATGGTGATTCAATTTTTCATGGGTTTAAAAAATTTACTGTCAGGTAATGTTCCTGGTGG